TAATGAAGAAAAATTTTAATATAAGTTTAAAATAACAGTAAATGTACAACGTTTCGACAAGATTGTCATCATCAGGTACCTTCTTCGTTTTCTTCATTACCCATTCAAGCCGTCTCCAACCAACATTAAAATATTTTTCACATTAATGATAAAATTACTATAATACAATAAACAAATTCACAGACTACAGATACTGTCTTACTTACTTTATCCTGAATAAACTTAATATTTTTTTTGGAGTTTTCCCACGGTATACTTAATATACATCTAAAATATGCATCAAAACCTCTGAACTCCTAATTATTAAACATTTCGCCTTCTGACGGTTTTCAAATAAAATTTAAAGAATAATTAAAACGGTCAATAAAGTATTTTTCAAATATTGATCTTCTTTGTTTTTCAACAGAATTACAAAATGGAAGAAACTTAAAAAAAGGGTTAATTCAATCCGTTAAAAATAGAATTACACAAATATAGATGTTTACTCACTGGGAGAGGACAATTTTTCGAATTTCCAAAATTATACCTATGTAAATTAACTCTTGCTCTCAAATTATTAGATTCTCGAATATACAATTGTTCACAAATAATGCATTTTAAAACGTAAATTACATTTTTAGCATTACATTCAAAAGAATATTTCACCTTAAATAATCCCTGTCCTTTTGGTCCAACAGTTAAATTTCTTAGATCAAGATATCTATTTGTACATATTAAACAACTTCTTCTATTACATGGTAAAATGTTTTTTTCGGTCTTTACTTTAGAATTTTTAAAAGTTAACAATCTATATATATTTTAGATTGCCGCTTAGCATAAATTATTTTACAATTTTCGAAAACATTCTTTAACTTCTTACTTACAAAATGATCAATTTTTTAAAAATAAAGTTGATATTAATCAATCTCTCTGGAAAATGATTTGTGAGTACCAGTATAACATTTTCATCATTATATTTATATTTAATTCTTTATCCTCCAATTGACCTTTTCGCCAAATTAAAACTTCAGTCAATAATATTGTCTGAATAATATTGTTTCAATACTTTTATTCGAAAATTTCTGGATTATTTATTAACATATGTAACCTTTGTGCCAGAATATCAGGAATATTTCATTTAACTGATTTGGGGTGATTTCTAGAAAATTCTAAATACTTATGTGGATTGATTGGCTTAAAATAAACATTGGTCATAACTTCATAATTTTCTTTAACGACTACAACTACTATGTAAATTTGATTTTTCCATTTAATCAGTTTAAAACTCGAAAAACAACTTCAATATCATAACTTTTGTTGAAAATAATAAAACAGTCATCCAAAAAAAAAATTTCCATGTTACCTTTAAGTAATTTACTTTGTTAATCTCAAAATTGTTCGGAAAAAAGTCAAGAACTTTACTTTCCAGAATATCCATTATTATCAGTGTAATCGATAATTACATAATTAATCTAGTTCCTTAGATTTGTGACAATTTTCTTCTTCAAACACAAACATAGAACTAAATCTAGATCTGTTTATTGAACCTCTTGGTAATACAATCTATACAATTATCAAAACATAATTCAATTTCGTTTAGTCCAAAATAACGTGAAATACTCTGGTATAAAGCAACAACATTAAATGACGGCCAACAAATGATTTGGTTCCATCTTCTTAGGCAACTTATATACGAAATCTATACTGATTTTGATATGACTTTTCACATTCGAAATAGAAGGTTTCAAAACAGTATCCATTAAATTACTCAACGGTTCAATAATTATAAGTATTCTTTCAGTAATTTAATTTCGTGCAATTTTGATAACATATAAAATTTTCTCAATATATTTTGACTTAAAATAAAGTTAAAGACTCGTTTTAATTAGACTTTAATTTTGAATTGTTGCTAATAAGATAAATTATTTTGTAACTTGAGTTTTTAAATAATTATAAATGATTAAAAATATAGTAAATTTTTAAAATTAAAAAAGAAAGGTAAATTTTCAGGATTATTCAATTAAAGATTGTTTTAAATCTGGGAAAGTCAATTTCAAAAATACAAAATTCAAGAGAGCTTAGTTGTCATTGCAGTAATCGCTGTCAGATGTAAGAACTAATTTTATTTTTTCAGTAAAAAAATATTTTTAGTTTTTGTAATATTTTATTACTTCTGATCGCTTTTATGAGAAAGAAACTTTTAATTCTGGAAAATTTGACACAAAATGTCTCGAAATTGTAAAACAATTCTCCATTTACTGGTATAAAAATTGAAGTGTAGTTAAATCGATTTCGCCATGAATGTATTTTCGCCATGAATTTTCGTATGAATGTAAATAATTTGAACATGTACGTCTGTAAATAAATTATTCAGAATTTTGTATTAGCTGCTGCACGCCGACCCTAAACAGCGAATATCAAGCCTAGAACAGATGAAGCAGCATCCATTTTTAACAACAATCGATTTTACCTCTCTCTATAACAAAAAACTCACACCATCCTTCATTCCGTCGGTAAGTTCCAGGAGTACAAAATTGTGAAATACTTATGTAATATTTTTGTATGTTGTGACATGTTAGTGTAAAGGAATGAAAAAGGTCTTAATGCTATAATTGCATTTCAAAAGAAAAAGAAGGGATATTTCTTCGTTTCATATTTTGTTTTTACAAATTTCAAATAATCTGTAAGTCCTTGAATAAAGAACCGCCTCGTTTCAATGTTAGGGGTATTTAGTAACAGTTTTCTTTGTTACATGTAAACTGTTGAAGAAGGCATAAAGTCAGATTGCATAGTCATATAAACAAAAATGCAAGTCTAAAGAAACGTACTTATGTATTCAATTTACAACTTATTACAGTTTTAGGCTGCAAAACGAATATTTCCAATGAAGAAGAAAGGTCGTTATAACGGAGACAGTAATCAATCAAAGTGAAAAGATAAAACCAGTTAAAAATTGTTTTTGTAATGTGTTCTTTTACGTTTGCTAAAAGGCTAAGTTCACAAAAAAAATAAACGTTTGAACAAAAATTCTGAAACTAATGGTATGCATAACTTACAAATAAACTTACTTACAGGATTTCTTTGCTAATCTACCGATTAGTTTAATAGACGCGATAAATGCCACTACTAACACTAATTTATAACACTCACTGAATACTTCACACACTGAATACTCGTAATTGTCATGCACTATTGTGTCTTCAAATTTTACAAAATTTCTATATTACTATATTGTCATGACCTTTCCAGGTATTCTAGGACTACTTTTATGAACTTTCTACAAATAGCGTCACCATCATGATTAGTAACTCCCTCTAGCAAACAACTAAATTATAACAATGAAAATATAGCTTATAACACTGCCCCTACCTGAATTGTGGAGTCCCTTGAACAATCCTAATACACAAACAAAATAGTACACTAAACTATCTATTCACCAAGCCTTTTTGATAGTTTTCTTTTCCGAGGGCTTTGGTATACAGATGAAATAACCCCTGGTACATTGTTGTCGGTTGCTGTTCTATAATTGGGGGATTTCTCCCTAGGTTGGTGGTAGAACGAATACACTTGTGGTTCTATCCTTGGTGATCCTCTGGAAGTGTTCTCGACAAGAACCCTGGAATCTTCACTAGGTTGACTTTCTGCTAGCAAATCCTTCGCAGGGTTAATTATGGGTTTCATCCTTTCTTGCAGTGGGGATTGCACAGCCATAACTTGTAATCTTGATGGAATCCAGTCTTATCAGTATTAACATCATAGCGACATTTAATTTTATCGCTAACTGATTTAAGTACTTCCAAGGTAAAGTAATGTACAACATCAATGGTGTTATTCCTTTGTGTCTCTACAAATTATGTTTAAGACTCTGTGAGTGACTAACCTCTGGATGTGAGTAGAGAAGACCCAATGACACTTTACATTCTCTCCCGAAGATTACTGACAATGTAATTTTGCCTGTAACTGTGTGCTGCTGTTCGATAACTCATAAGTAGTAGAAGACGATCTTTGGTCCCATGTTTCTGATGTTCATCCACATAAGTGGCTAACTGGTTTAAAGTCTATAGTTGTTTATCTTTACCATCCTGTCAGAAGATGGATGAAGGGCTGTTGTACTGATTTTTTTTTATCTCAAGGATATGACACATTTGCACAAACAAGACTGATTCAAAGTTTATCCCTTATCCGAGCGAAATTCCATAGATACAAATTCGTTGACGATTTTCCTTGCTAGAATTTTTGCTTCTTGGTTAGGAATAGCAAATGCTTCTGGCCATTTGGTGAAATAGACCATCACAACCATGATGTATTTATTCCCACAGTTTCTTTTAGGCAGAGTACCAAGCATATCAACAGCAACTCTCTCAGGTGGTGTTCCAACACAATACTGCTGTAGCTGCCAATACTGTTTTTTTCTTTCTTGGACCTTTTTGCTCATAGCGTAGTTCACAAGATTTAAACTCAGATCTCTACCGATCCCAACACCAAACTCAATGGAAACACTACCTTACTCTATCCAGTGTCTTCTTAACATCTAATTGTCCAACTGTTGGAAGGTTGTAGGTGATGACAGAATGCTTCTGAATATAGAGGCTGTGGAAGTACCAACTCTAGTCTTTGATTCTGTTCATTGATATATTCCTATTTCCAACATTATAAACCCTCTTGTAGGCATAATTAATCCTACTATTCCCAGTATATTTTGTCAACAGGCAGTTTGGAGTGACTGTTTGCCTTGAGAGATCTTTGCACTCTTCATGATCCAGTGAACATTGGTTTCAAACTCGTACCTTTTGCATATGCATCTTTCAATTGAGTGTTAGACCACAATACTTCATCATCATCACTTATGGATGTCCCATCTTGGACTATACTCTGTTGTAATTTATGGTGGTCATCATTATTATTTAATGCTTCTCTTTTCACAATACTGACTTTCTTTATTAACACATGGTTTTCGGGATAATGCTTCAGCATTTCCATGATTTCATCTAGGGCAATGCACAATATTAAGGTTACACTCCTGACGTTTCTTAAGTCATCCTGCTATCTAGTCGTCTGGATTGTAAAAATTCACCAACCACCGTAATGCTACATAATATATCCCGAATGTAGATTTTTGTCGATATAGGAACTGAATTTGGGCTCGAACAATTCTTTTCTTTTCTTTTGAGTGGTAAAATACCTCGTTTCTGCGACAGTCATATATTATTTTCCATGTTGTGGTACTACTGCTCCCACTGCAAAATCACTGGAATTTGCATCAAAAATTGGTGTATCGTCAACAGCTGGGTATACTAATACTGGAGTAGTGGTTAATTTGTTTTTAGTTTATTGAGTGTTTGTTCACAATAAGCAGTCAAACAAAACTTATTTGGCTTTTCAAGTAATTTGTATAGAGGATGGATGAGCTTTGTAACCGAAAGATGTTACAAATTGACAATAGTAATAATATAGTACAAGAAATCCTCTTATCTAATGCAAATTCCTTGTTGTTGGCCAATTCTGAACATATTCAATATTTTATTGATCTGTAGACGCTTCTTCTCTGCTGATTATGTCCTAGAAAATTCACGTACTGACAGAATAATTCACAGTTCTTGGGATTCCGCTTAAGATTATTTTTCTTCAACGATGCAGTACTTTCCTTAACCCACCATAACCATTATTTACGTCTTCCTATATGCGATTTTGTCATCCAGGTAAATGCGTATGCCATTCTAGGGAAATTTAGAAGGAGCATGTTACATTATTGTTGATATGTAAGTGTGTTACATATTCCAAGTAGTAACACAATCCATTTCCTGAAGTAAATGCTGTTTTTTCTACTTGCTTCCTCGACTTGCAATTGCCATTATCTACTCTTCAGTTCCAATGTTGAAAGCCATCTTGATGCAGATAGAGCATTCACAGTAGAATCAATATAGGGCAATTGGTAGGTACTCTCTTTCTGACATCATTTATATTGCGGTAATACATGCAGAAAGTGTGGATGTATACTTCTACTTCTTCACAAGTAAAATAAGTTATGCTTAAAGACTAGTAATCTGTCCTAACAATCCTTGTTCCTTCGTGGTTTCCATCTCCTTCAAAGCCTTAACCTGTTTTGCAAGTGGGGTCGTCTGGCAGACTGACTTATTGGGGCAGCGTTGCCAGTATAAATCTTATGAGATATTGTATTTGTTCAGCCTAAATCATACAATCTACTGGAGAAGATGTATTGATATTTCACGAGCAAGTCAAATTACGTAATCTATGGTATGTATCAACTGTAAGACTACCACAGCTTCAGTTATACATATCTTATAAATGAGATGGTAAGCTAGCTAATATGAGGATTTTACATCAGACTTTCTACATCTTGTCTTAAAGATAACTATTCATGATGTTCTTTGGTGTGAAAGTACTGTACTACTTGTACAGTATCATAGCAAGACTTGATTTAAATTTTAGAGCTTGTTGTGTTCATGGCACTAATGATGACATTTTTATTTTTCAAATCCAGGAGAGTTCCAACCATTAATCGGTCATGATATGCTGGATTGTTTGGTTCTACTATGGCCCAATAACTAGATGTAAATTTATTACTAACAAGTCATGTTATAAGTATTTCACTTCTTGGTGATTCAATGATTGTCATCGTAGTTACTACGGGAAGTTCCATCTCTGGTGTAGAAATTTGCATGTAGTGCACGGATTTCCTGGTCATAGACTGTGAAGCTACTTGTCCCCGCATGAAGGCAGTTTCGAGTATGCACTATTCTGTGATATCATGAAGTGAAAGGAGTAAGAATAAATTTCAACTGTGCTATTAACATAATTTTATGTTGAATTGCTGTTCACATCAATGTATCTTATTTCATCATTGTTGGAGGCAATTTCTCAATTTTTATTACCAAATCGGGCCGAATTATTGTAGTTGTAGAACCAGCATCGATCAACATACTGTAAGACTTGTCATCAAGAAACCCATGGAATGGTGTTTTAAATAATTAATTTATTTCTTTTGAAGTGGATGGGGTATTCTCAGCTGAACTTAGCCTCGAAAGTTCAACTAATTCCTGTTTCCCGAAGTCTAATTAGTCTTTTATAGTTCCTGTGATCTGATTGGGCTGGAAGACTAATCCTTATAGTATTTCTTACTTTGTGTATTAACAACTATTGATAATTCACAGTCATCTGCAATGCAAGGTTTCCCATATCTATAAAAGTTCTTGTTTATTAACGTCCTTTGTGAAGCGTTGTTATTCCCTTTACATTTTTGTCTGCAATCCATTTCAAGTTACATTTCAAACACCAATTATCTTGTGGTTTATTTCCTCCATTCTGTGTAACCAGTTGTAACGCCAATCCTTTCAGTTTTTCTAGATTATCGTCAAAGTGAGTTGGTGTTTCAATAATATTTGATCTAATGATCCCGTAATTTCTAGATGGTACCTTTAATTGTTTATCTGTGTCTTTAACAGATTCAAGTCCCACTACCAACTAGGAGCTTTTTTTAAAGACGTGCACCTAA